CAAACATTTCCTTTTAAAAAAAAAAAAAAAAAAACAAAAAAAAAACAAAACCAAACCAAAAACACACTGGCTTATGTCAAAAGTTTTGACATAAGCAGTGGCATATGTCTGTAATCCCAGGACTCAGGAAAGATTGCTGTGAGTTTGAGGTTAGTCTGGGTTACACAGTGAGTTCAACTACATAGAGACCCTGACTCAAAATAAAAAACAACTAAAAAATATTTACAGTTTCAGGAACAAAGCTAGCTAAGAAGCAGCTCTACTCTGAGTTTCAGAAAAAGTGAGTAGGTGCTGCTAATATTCCTTTCATAGGACCAGCTCATTTTCTTAGCAAATTGAGTTTTCAAAAGTACAGGGCCAGACAAATGTAAAAGTTATTGTGTGTAAGCAAAATGAACAAATAAGGGATATATTACGAAGTACTAGCTCCACTGTTATGTAATCCCGACAAAACTCAATCTTTCTATGCCTCAAAGTATTGCCATCAAACAATTCTCTCAATGGATAAATGCATAGAGTGCATTGAGTTCTCTGGGTAACATGCAGAGAGGTACAATAAAAATGATAAATCAGGGCATGGCGGGGTAAATTTTCAGATCAGAGAAAGACAGCATGTGAAACCGTATGAAATAAATTCACTGAATTCTGCCTTAAAATTAATGAGCAGGTTATGTTCCTCCAAAAAGGGGAAAATTACAGATTACACACACCAAAGGACTTAGAAGAATACATCAAACTGGGTCCCACTAGCTATAAAGGAATATACCATCCACAATTTCAGTCAAACTCTTAGACTTGTTAGTCAATTTCACAAGCTCCCAGAGAGTCATGAAATGCAAAGGAAAAATTCTTCAATGCTAACTTCACACAAAAATGCCTAGTACAAGCAAATGTTCAGGTACCATCTAAACTTGTGAAAACATCTTGGATTTTCTGGCTAAACTCTTCACAGAGCCTTTCACCCCATTCCAGCCTATAAAACTACTTCTTCAACTCTCGAGCAAAAACTGAAGATTCACTCTCTCTTATTCCTGAAACCTAGAATTTGGCCCTTCTTAAATTCTAAATTTTCTTCAATGTTCCCCCCTTTCAGCTTCTTATCTCGCCCAGTGATTTATGTCTAGATCTACAGTCAACTATCAGCCACATTTTCTGCTTGTGTCATTTCATTTCAAACTCAATAATTTGTCAAAGTCATTTGCTACACCCATTACTTGAATCAGACTTTTTGTGGCCTAACAGGAGTTTCCCTTTGAACCTTATCCAGGGTAAAATTTCAATCTGCTTTACAACTCTCTAATACAGCAGATCAAATAAATTCACTATAATTTCATTTACCCTTCTTCTTTTCCTCCTTTTACAGAAACTTGCTAATGTTCTACTATCATCCACAGTACCATAGAATGTTAGAGCTGGATACAACAAACATTACTCATAAGACAACTACAAAAAAAAAAGAACACAGCTGCTGCAGAGGTGCAAAGATGTTCCTCGACTTATGATGGGGTTTATGTCCCAATAAACCCACTATAAATTGAAAATATTCTAAGTTGAAATGCACTTTATGTACCTAACCTACTGCATGCCACATATTGTTGACATAGTACAGTATTAGTTGTTTAATCCTTGTAATCAGGTGACTGATAGCTGTGGGTTGCTGTTGCCTACCCAGCATCATAACAGACTAGAGTATTACATATTGCTAGCCTGGAAAAAAATCAAAATTAAAAGTTTAAGTTCAGTTTCTAATGAATGTGTATTCACTTTCACGCCATCATAAAACTTAAGAATTGTTTAGCCAGGGGTAATCTGTCAGAGAAAGCACAGCCCTTGACACTCAGCCTTGTTTCCTTTCCACTATACCCCCATCATCTTCTAACCTTCCTCTTCTTAAAGGTTATATAAATAACCAGTATATTCTTTCTCTAAGCATAAAACACTTCCGTCACTTAAGTAGTTGTTGAAGGCTGTCTAATTTTTAGACAGCTTTCTATGGACTCATCTCACTAAAAGTCAAATTATGATCAGCCTTCAAATTATATTCCCTAGATTAATTTATATTTACTTATATTCTATGTAAAGCACTGAAATCCCTGGTACCAAATACAAGATCTGTTATAATTTTTAAGACTAATTACACAAATAATCTAGATACCCATAATGAGTGATTAAACAGAGAGCAGCACACCAATGCTACAACATGTATGTCATGGGTAAACATTAGAGATGCTTTTACCACTTGATATAGAAAGATTTCCAAAACATAACGTGACGAAAGCAAAGGAGTACACATATATCTCATTTATTAGGGCTAGTGTGTATGGATATACTTAGGTACATAAATTTATTAAAAAGGGACTGGGGTAGGTGAGGTGGTATACTCCTACAACCCTAGCACTTGGGAGGCTGAGCATGGGCTGCATAGCGAATCCCTGGCCAGCCTCGATTACAGAGCAAAACCCTATCCCAAAACAATAAAGGGGGACTGGAAGTGTTCAAAATTACTAACATGGTTACTAATAGCTAGAAAAATGGCAGAGGGTGTTATGAGGAAGCATTTACATTTTGGCCACATACTTTATTAGCCAAATCTCCTTAAGATGCATCTGCTTATTAGAAGAGTAATAAAAATTAAAACCACTAAAATAATTTTAATGGTAGCTACAGCTTGATCGGTTCCACTCATGGTGCTACACATTATGCTGGAACATCAAATATACATATCAATAATCCTCAGAGAAACCCCTGTAGAAGAAAGAAGATATTATACTGAGGTTTAGAAGATTACTGTATACAGATCATAATTAGTAGTGTCTGAGTTCCTCTGCCTGTGTTCAAACAAAAAGCTATGTTTCTCCTATGATATGACACAGCTAAAATGTAACATACTGAGTCTCAAATTCATGCACAAATGAATTGTGATATGAGGGAACTCTACTATAGCTATCAATATTTCTGTTCAAGATTCATAATTTGATTGTTTCTCTATGTAACTGAACTGAAAATTTACATATCTCTAGTCTTCCTTCGGGTAGGATGAACGGCAACCTATTAAGGTGAGCTTATGATCATCAAGTTGTTAAATCCCACATATAACTGAACCTTATTTCAAAAATGAAAGCATAGTATTACACGGCTGAGAAATAGACACAAGAAGTAAGGAATTCTCCCAAACCATAAACTACCTCTTATCGTAGGCAAAAAGGCACTTATTCTGATGTACTTGAGAGCTGATCATTACTAAGACACATGAAATATTTTTAAGTCCAAGAGACAGAGAGAACTGTAAAGATATTACTTGTATACGTACGAAGCTGGCCGATCTTGTCTCAGGTCAATGGTAAATACAACTGCATCTTCACCTGCAGACAGGAACGTACAGGGAGAGTCTGGTTCCAGAGCCAACTGAAAGAGAAAAGGGGGAAAGGATGAGGGTTCTAAAGATTAGAATTAGAAATAGTCGAGTTCACTTCTTTACCTTTTATGAAAGGCTACAATGAAAATGTTTCAGGAAGACAAATGTCTGGCTTTTTTGTTGTTGCTGTAAAATTCCAAAGAAGATAATTTTAAGTACACCACTCTTCTGTGTAAATTATTCAGTCTGTTTATTCTGTACAAGTCAAAAGGACAATGATTTGCTATTTTAACAAATCCTTTCGGGACTTAAACATCAGCTCTTAAGAGTTCATTTTCAAAATCAATCCCATACCTTGAGGTATGGAGAGAAATGGTGCCCTTTCATTCTCTTCATCTTAGTTCTAAAAATTAGTTATCTAGTGTATTGGGTGTAGGCTTACGAATCACAGGTGAATTTCACTTTTCCTGAGCCATGTGACTGGAAAGGAAACTCAAGGTCCATCTACAAATTTTCTTAAGGTCTGTAAATCAAGGTACCATCTCTTTTCACGGCACAGAAAAACACAGTGCCTACTCTGAGTCTGGGAAGCTCATAGCTCCTCACTGGCTACCCCTAAGACTATTTGGCCTATATTCCCAACTCTAAATAGGGTTTCCAGAAATAGTACTATTTGAGCTGAGAGCTGTAAGCAGATAGTTGGAGGAACCAACTATTAGTTCCTTGGAATTGTGACAATGTTTTAAAAATTAAATTTCAGGGGTTTGGAAAGCATAGGAAACCTCAAGGATCAACAACCACGCACAGCTCAGCTTAGCAGGTAGGTACAGTAAGCAAATGCTACAAGTACATGATCTGGGTAAAATCTCAAATACTTATCTTCCAAGAAGTTTAGGCTGGCTATTTTTCCTTTTTGGTACCAGGGATCAAACTCTGGACCTTGTGCTTATGAGGCAGGTGGTGGAACCACCGAGTTAAATCCCCAGCCCCAGCTTGACTATTTTTACTCCTTTCTCAACTACAATTCTTAGGACTGAAAGACACAAGGCAGATGACCACAATAAAAGGGACATGACAGGCAGAGATGAGAGGATAGATATTAGCTGAAATTCAGAGGGATATGATCATTACGTATATCTAAAAACATACCAATAAATTTAAAACTACAAATAAAGAAATCCATAGATGGCATGGATTCACAAACCGAAGCAAAGGCTAACCTTGTGGGATGCTCCTTTGTGCTGCGCCACACGCTTTGTATTCTTGCAGCACTGTGTGGCAGACAGTTCTGCTACCCGAACCTGTCCATCCCGGGCACACATGGCCAGGGTGGAATCTCCACTGTTGGGAAGGAACTTGGCCTGTGGTAGAATGAAAAAAAGGTTGCACACAAAAGAAATTGTAGGGGCCGGGGATTTAGCTCAGCGGTTCGGTGGCCTGCCTTGCAAGTCCAAGGACCCAAGTTCAATCCCTGGTACCAAAAAAACCAAAACAAAACAAAACAAAAAAACCAAAAAGAAATTGTAGAGGTGAATATGAGAATGAAGACTGTGATGATCCCAGTTCACTCCCTTTCTTACACAATAGCTACACATAACTTTTCTACTCTTGTACAGATGGCTAAAACCAGTTTCTCCTAGGGGTTAAAAAGGAAAAGGAAAGAAAAGACTTCCTTTGAGGTGTGACTGGTTCTAGTAAGGCTGAACTTGTATGTGATTAAATGCTCAGGTTAGTGCTGGGGATTTAGCTCAGGGGTTCACCGCCTGCTTCTTCTTGTTCTTTTTGGTACCAGGATTGAACTCAGATCATTGCGCTTGTTAGGCAGACAGAAACACTGAGCTAAATCCCCAGCCCCCGCTGCCTGCTACTCAAGCACAAGGTCCTGAGTTCAATTTCTGGGATAGATAGATAGATAGATAGATAGATAGATAGAAGCCCAGGTGCACCTAATAGAGGAGAAAAATAAGGAATAAAGGAAAATCTTTTTTTTTTTTAAATGCTTTTGTGGTACCAGGGATCAAACTCAGGCCCTTGCCCAAAGCAGGCTACGGAACCACTGAGCCAAATCCCTGGCCCTAAGGAAAATCTATCTTTATCAGTAGTAAACATCACTATGCCACTATGCCACACGGGAAAGAAAATTAGGGATGAATGCTGGGGCAAAAAAGAGAATGTGCTTAGGGATATCTGGTATCAATATGGAGAATGGGTCTAAATAAAATTCCCTCAAATATCACTACCAGCCATGATTCCAGGTACTTAGCTCCCACTGGTTTGATGTTAGCTGTATGTGCTCCTGTGTGTGTTCCTGTGGTACTAAGGACAGAACCCTCAGCTGTGTGCATGCTCAGCACATGCTGTACCACTGAACAAAACCCCCTAGTCCATCTACTGTTATTTAATCTTCATAACCCTGTATATGTAGACCCAATTTTGTAGATATAACTGAAAACACAGGTTAACTTTCCCAAGCTCACATAGTTATCAAGTGGAAAGGCCAGGGTTTGAACCCAGGCAGAGTAGTTTAAGAGCCTGTGCTTTTACACTATACTGTCTCCTAGTAGCACATCTACAAAACCTCCCTGAAGTTCCAGACATCCTCCTATAATAGGACTTGACAGCTCTTATGGTCAAGAAAACAAAAGATTGCCATGGGTCTTTCTATGTCATAAAGGAAGCCAACATGGGGTTAAGCCCTGATGTGTGATTCTTAGCACAACTCACTACCAGCTCCACTCTACGCAGCAGCTCAGACTGTGTAATGCATGCCCAATTCTCAGTTATGCTTCCTTGCCTTACCTGGAAGACATTACTTTTGTGACCACTCTCAAAGTCAAGCACTGGCTGCCGACGCACCCAATCCCACACCACCACCTTCAGGTCATCGCTGCCACTGGCCAGCCAGGTGCCACGCTGGTTAAAGTGCAAGGTGTTGACACAACCGGTATGGCCCTCGAGCCCATGCTGCAAGCGGAAACGCTGTACAAAGACTCTTGCTCCACAGGCCTCATACACAAAGTGGGCACTTGAACCTAGTGCCCGTTCCCGAAGGGCAGGAAGGGCTTGCCAGCGAGGTCGAGGCAGGGCTGTTGTCTCTGAGGACACCCAATCTTCCAGGGCCCGCTCATCATCTGATGAGTCCTGGTCACGGCTGGCCCGCTTGCGCTGTAAACGGCACCGAGGATGTTCTTCTTCCTCCTCTTCTTCCTCTTCCTCAGAATGGTCATGAACTCGGCTTTCATCATTGATGGAGTAATGACCAGTGTCCTCCATGCTGTCAGAGTCTTTTTCTTCACCTGAGCTCTCAGTGTCTGTGCCGCGACTTTCTGTGCTGGTACGGTTGGGGCCACCTTCATCCCCAGTCAAACTCAAACTAAGGTCTGAGGCCTCCACTTCAATGCCTGAGGATGTCTCCCTCCCCTCTTCTGTTCCAGACATCTCCTCTGGACTGCTAGATAGGCTTCCTGCACATTAATGAAGAATGGAAGGGGAAAATTGGGAAATATGATTAGAGTTGTGATCAGAAGAATTTCCCACTGTAGTCTAAGAAACTATCATATTGAAAAACCAAGAAATAAATTTCAGGCAAAGTGTTTCCATTATAAATGCTTACAAAGAGTTAACTTCTGACACTGGTATATGCCTATAACCCCAGCTATTGGGAGGCTTCTGAAGGAATTTCATGAGTATGATGTCACTCTGGGCAAGTTAGAACATGTTTAAGGGGGGGGACTACTGATGTAGCTCAGTGGTAGAGAAAGAAAAAAATAAAGTCACTGTTGTTTATTTTTTGAGACAAAGTCTCACTATGTAGTTCAGGCTGGTCTTGAACTCACTATGTAGCCCAGGTGCCACCATGCCCAGCCCTTAAAAATTACCTCTTAGAGGAAAATCTTATAAAGGACAACAAATTGAAAAGATCAAAACCACATACAAAGACACTTCAAAAAAAGTGAAGAACTGCAGAATAAACTAAAAGTATACCAAGAGCTGGTTGTGGTAGTAGCACACTCTGGGAGGCTGAGGCAAGAAGATTACAGGTTTGGACCCAACCTGAGCAACTTAGTAATACAGTGTCTCAAAAATTTTTAAACAGAGAAGAAAAGAAAAAAAGTGTGGGAAAGGGAGGGAGAGGGAAAGAAAATTTTAAAAAGAGCTGTGCATGTAGATCAGTGAGAAGGTCCTAAGTTCAATTCCCAGCCCTGCAACAAAGTTCTCAAGAAACTAATCTTGGGCATACTGCATGCAAGTATGTCTAATTCAACTACTTTAGGGTGTTTCATTGGATGGCATCCATCAAGTACAGCAAATAATTAAACTGTAAGAAAATCTCCAGCCAGAACTAGCACAGCTATTTTCTTAGAGAAAGATGGAAAATAACTGATTAAAATTACTAATACTTACAGATACAGAGTTAGGCCATTTTCTACTTCAAAAAAGCATCTCCACCTCCTGCTGCCTAAATGCTAAGTTTTTTTTCCCAAAAGTTCCTAACATTCATAAAGAAAGGGAGTTGAGGGGATTTTTAAGCAGGGAATTGTGATCACTTGGTGTGGATTCTTGCTCACCTTTTGGCAGTGAACAGATTTATTTATTTCCAATAGTTTTATTAGTCACTTTTTTTTTTCTTGAGACAAGGTCTCACTGTGTAGATCAGACTGTCCTGGAACTTACTAGGCTGGTCTCAAACTCACAGTGATCCTTCTGCCTTAGCCTCCCGAGTGCTGGATTTACAGGTGTGTGCCACCATGCCTGGCTTAGTCATCTCTTTACTGAGATGAAGTTTTATTAGGAAGCATACACAAATTTTTTTTTGTTTGTTGTGTAGTTCAAGCTGGCCTTGAACTCACTATATAGCCCAGGCTGGCCTTGAATGTGAAGCAATCAACCTGCTTCAGCCTCCCAAGTGTTGGGATTATAGGCATGTGTCACCACGCCTGGCAACATACACAAAATTGACGAAAAGCAGACCTACTCTAGTAGTACCCAAGAAGAAAACGTCAGTGTACTCCTGGTTTGCTACACTGGTAGTTAAATAACTCGTTGACTTTGAGTAATCACAAGAAACTCCATTCCCTTATCTAACACCAACCAAATCATCTTCCAATGAGCATTTAGCAATGTTCTAGAATTAATACAACTACTATTTCCTACCTATGGTCCAGGTATGGAGATAGGAAGGAGAAAAAGGACTATAAACACAGCCTGCTCATGGCTCCTCTCCTCTGGATGACTGCAAATTCTACTCTGCCATAAGTAAGACAGTCCAGTTGTGTGATTCTAGTACAAGATACTCCACTCCAATATTTACTGTCTAGTTATCTGGATTAGAGCAGAAATTTGTGACAATCACTAAAGCAATGGGATCCTTTTTCAATGAACTCTTAGGCAAAAGCCAACACAGAAAACATAAACAATACAAATGCTTAGTTTCAAGTAGTAACAGAAGTCTGAGTGACACAAAAGCAGCTCAACTAAAAGCACAGTGTGAAGACAACTGGGCTAGGAGCTGGGACAAAAAGAAAAAAGAAATACACAGAACTGAACCTAGAAACTATACTTGCTAAAACTGAGAAGTTTAATAGATGGGTTTTTTTTTTAAATGATATTGGCTTGAGCTTGGGAGTGGAGAGAAGGGACGAAGATACCACAGCTAAACAGGTCTGTGGTGAGAAGGAAAAATTAAACATTAAAACTCCTAGATTTGGGCCAGGGATTTAGTTCAGCGGCACTGCACCTGCCTTGCAAGCGCAAGTTCCTGAGTTCGATTCCTGGTACCAAAAAAAAAAAAAAAAAAAAAGGCAAAACCAAAACAACAAAAAACAAAACTCCTAGAATTTGTTAGAATTATGATTACCAATTCAGACTCTACAGGCCATTCTGGCCATTAATATAAGGTGTATATTACAAGCTCAGGAAGAGGGCCCGAATAATCAATGATCAAAATCTAGCTCAGGAGAGTTAGCCAATTTTTTTCTGAAAAGGGCCAGATAGTAAAAATTTTAGGCTTTGTAGACCACATGGCACTGTCACAACTACTCAATCCCATTAGCACAAAAGCAACTCCACTAATACTAAAACAACCAATAGCTACTACATACTTAGCTGGCATGACTACATTCGAATAAAACTTTACAAAAATAAGTGGAAGCAGGGGATTTAGCTCAGTGGTTATGCCACTTGCCTCTCAAGCACAAGGTCCTGAGTTCGATCCCCAGTACTATAAATAAATAAATAAAATAGAAGTAAGTGGAAAGCTGGCTTTGGCTTGTAGGTTACAGTTTGCTAATTCCTGACAGTTAATGGCCAAGCTCCAAATTAATAACATACTTCAAGTCTCTCTAGAACCCAGGGCCTTCCAACTAAACCCACTGAAAAAACAGAAGGAGGGAAGAAGAGGAAAAGGAGAGAAGAAAGGTAAGCAGAATTCCACTTGGTTTGGTTTGATACTTCCTCCAGAAGCAGCAGCAGAGGATCAGGGGCTGGAGTACGGGTGAGAGTTTGAATCCTAGACCTCACACTTTACCACTAAGTTAAATTCCTAGGCCAGTAATTTCCTCTCTGATCTATTATCTCTATCAAACTATTATCTACCATGGAAAGAGATCTCTTAATATAAACACTGGCGAACCTCATCTTCCTCAAAATCTCCTGTTCCTACCATCCACTGGATCTTATTTTGCTCCTTTATTAACAGAATTTCCTAGGTCCTGCCCACCTTTACAGCCTTTCAGAATTTCCAACTATGGGACCTCTTAGAAGCACATTTCTTACTGATCTTCTAAAAACATCAGATACAATTTGAAAAAGCCAAAATACCAGATAATCCAAGATGTTTCCTGTGTAGTTTCCTATACTCAAAACAACACAGGAAAGGTTCCTCCCCTTCACTAATGTCCAGGTTTCCACTCTATCCTGGGGGGAGGAGGAGGACCTTAGTTAATAGTAAAAATAGCTTCACCTTCATTTTGGCCCCTTACCATTAGCTAAGTCTGTTCTACCATCTGTGCTGCTCCCTTTGCTGGACATCTTGAATGATGTTTGCTGTAAGCAGCCTGCATTTGGGAGAAGAAGAAAATGAAATAATTAGAAAGACCACCTGGGAAAGAACAAAAAAGACAAGAAGATTTAAAAATGTACAAGCATTGTCAATTTTATAAAAATTGTGTATGTGTTTAACAGGACTTCTCAGCTGCTGAAAAGCACACCAGATCCCCTCCCCCAATATCAAATTCCACAGAGGGATATATTTTTCAGAGATTAACTGCCATCTTTTTACCTTACTGAGTAACTGGCAGTGCTTCTTTTTCAGATAGAAAAGAGGGAGCTGAAAAAAAAAAAAACCTGGAATGGCAGGCACATATCAAGTGACAGGTACTGCAAGCAAGGAGCCTCAATACAGAAAGCTAGCTTCAGCACTGCCCTCTAGGCAAGAATCTTCTCTTCTAAAGTGACAGTCCTGTGTATCCACAAACTCTGTAAAACACTTGTTTCACAACAAGAGGTGAGTCAGATTCTGAATATTATTTTCCACACATGTCAACAGAGAAGAAATCAAACTTTGGGTAAGAGCCTGTGCTTCATATCTACACAGATGCTCAATTTTGAGCTTATTATAGGCAGAGATACTAAAGAATTATAAGAAGTAGAACTACAGTGTGAACTTAGGAGCACCTACCCCCAAGAAAGAACCTTAATATTCTCTCTCTTTCTGGATTAATAGTCAGTGATCAAGAGGAAAGGTAAGGAAGCCAACTTCATATAACAGCAAACATTATTTTACTCCACTAACTTTCACCAGACTTACCTTTCTGGCAAAGCCCTAACTAGGATCTGGGCATCTAGCTTATTTCTTTTATGCCACTAGAAACCCCACCACCACCACACTGCCACCTCTAGCAAATTCCAAAGAGCAAAGAATAATATTATTCAGACCAGAATTTTGTTAAGCCCTTTCAGTGCTTTGGACAAAAGGCACTGGTAAAAAAAGACAAAGTATGACTATGACTCCAGTTCTTGTACCCAAGCACAATGGCCTCTAATCTTTCATTCCCATAACAATTATCCCAGAAACAGCCCCATCCTTATCCTTACCCGCTACTTTCCTCTACAGAAATCTACACTGTTCATAAAAGCAGTTATCTACCAAGAGATAGCTGCTCCAAGACTGCTCACAGTAGGCCAAGCTGGGGGAGTAAAACTACCACAAGTACAGGGCTGAGGGTGAATTTGAGGAAAGGACACCTGGAAGGGTGACGATGGAAGACAATGACAAGAAACACATATGTGAAGCCACATAAAGAGAAACAGTGAAGAATTGCTGCAGAATAGGCTCTTCCCCCCCCCCCGTTTTTTTTTGGTACCAAATGAGGAAGGCAGAGGAACCACCAAGTTAAACCCCCAGTCCCTTCTCTTTTCTTTTGTTTTTTGAGACAGGGTCTCACTATGTAGTTGAGACTGACCTGGTACTTATTATGTAGCCCAGGCTGGTCCCGCACTCACAGCGATCCTCCTGCCTCAGCCTCCCGAGTGCTGGGATTACAGGTGTGCGCCACCAACGCTTGGCTTTTCTTCTCTTTTTTGATTCATGTATTTTTACACAGCATTCCTCACATGGCACTTGCTTTTCTCTTTCAATAGTCTCTGTTTATATTCTTAGCATCTTAGCAGTATCTTTGCCCTCATCTAGGGTTCAAAAAAACATTTTTTGTTTTTGGGTACCGGGGATTGAACTCAGGTCCTTACACTTGCAAGGCAGGCCACCGAACCGCTGAGCTAAATCCCCGGCCCTAGGGTTCAAAATTAATTACTTGCAAAGTCCATGAATTCAAGAAAACGATTGTACTTCTCGGGCGGGATTAAAAATTAAGGTCATAAGCAGACCACTATTTCATGGTCAATGGAAAACAGATTTGATGTTTTCCTACTTCCGTAATTAAAACTGTCTACCATACCATACTTCTCACCCTACTCTTATCCACTCCCAGCGAATAAAAACGCAGCTCCAAAAAGCCTTTCTCAAAACTATTAACTTCTAGAGGAACCCAGACCACCTGAATTTGAGAATCATAACTGCTTTAAAACAAACAAATTTGCTTTCCCAGCCTCTATGACCAGGAAGAGCCAAAACCTAAACTACCCACTTCTGAGAAGTGGGGGAAAAAAGAGAGCCATGAGGTTCAACCCATATCCAGAGGTTATAGAAGTGTCTTTTAGGGAAACTGGCCTATGATTCTTTCAAGAAGGAAACTTCTAAATTGGGAGCTGTCACAAAAAGTCTGTAATCTCAACTTTTGGGAGACTGAAGCAGAAGGGTCAAGTTTGAATCCCACCTGGGCAAATTAGTAAGACCCTGGCTCACAACCAAACAGGACAGGGGATGTAGCTAAGCGTATATAGGCCCCTAGTTCAACCCCCAGTACCACCAAACAAACAAAAAAACAAATTTCTCTTTGAGGAAAACAGTTGAATTCACTGCTAAATTAAGAAACAGAGAAAACTGAAAATGCTTATATCAACCATATTGGGTCACACCATCAGCATGCTTGCTTCTTTGTTTTTTTGAGGCAGAGTCTCTCTTTGCAGTACAGGCTGGCCCTGAACTCACTACGTAGCCCAGGATGGCCTCGAACTCCTGTCTCAGTGCTGGGATTACAGGCAAGCACCACAATACCTGGCAGCCATTAGTGTATTTTATGCTCATGTATTTTAGGAGCTATTTAATTATCCCTGGGCTTTTCTCTATAAAATAACGGGTTAAATATACCTAATCTGAAAATCCCAATGCCTCAAAACCTGAAACTTTGTAAGCAAAGACATGATATTCAAAAAGTTACAAATTTCAGGGTTATTTTTTTCATATTAGGGATGTTCAACAAGTAACTCTATGCAAGTATTTCAAAATCTGAAAAATACTGAAATGTGAGATGCTTCTGGTCCCAAGCATTTTGGATATGGGATAATCAAGGTGCAGTAACTCCACATATGCTGTAAATAAGTACAATTTTATGCTAAAACTTCTGCAGAAGGATACTGTGGAGGCCCGGGATGTAGCTCAGTGGCACCGTGCCTGCCTGGCAGGTGTCAAGGTCCCGAGTGTGATCCCCAGTACTGGGGGAAAAAAAGGATATTCTGGGGACAGTGGCCTGCATTACAAACCAAAAAAATTTTTGTTATTGGGGACTGAACCTGGGACCTTGCACTTACAAGGCAGGTAGTGGAATCACTTAGCTAAATCCTTGGCCCTCTCGGGAAAAATTTTGAGAATAAATTCCAATAGGCAGAAACATACATGCAGTCAATTCATATTAACTTCAGTAGAATAATACCAAATACATATTTCAACATTACTTTTTTTATTTTGGTACTGGGATCGAACTCAGGACCTTACACACTTGCCAGGCAGGCCCGGTGTCACTGACCTAATCCCTGGCTCTCGACATTCCTTTTTATATTCCACAGGATCATCTTGCATATCCCTAAGTATATTAATTCCTAGCTATTGTCCCTCCTCATGATAGGGTGTATTTTTATTTTTAATCTCCCTTTTCACTTGGCCCAAACTTGCTCTGCAGAGCTCAGTTTTTCTCCTGCCCTTGTTTTCTTCCTACCTTTAATGAATGTAAAACTTCGTCACGGTAAAAAAAAAAAAAAAAAAGTAAATTAGTTCCCACTAATACTTCCCACCTGAAATCCGTATGTTGAAGCCTTAACTTCCTATGTGACAGTAGTCAGAGACAGCATCTTTGGGATAAATTTTGATGAGGTCACATGAGTGGGTGCCCTGAAGAAAGCTTGAGTGCCCTTACAGAAGATCCTAGAGAGTTCTCTCCTTTTTTCTCATGCCACTTAAGAAAGACAGCTGATATCTACAAGACAGGAAACAAGAAAAACACTTTCACTAGAAACCAATTATGCTGGCACTTTGACCTTTGACTTCTAGCCTGCAGAACTATGAGAAAATAAATCTGTTGTTTGAACCACCAGTCTCTGGCATTATGTTATGGCAGCAGAAGCCATAGTTACAAGACAATGTCCAAATTAAAGCAGCAGGAGATACTGTAGCTGTGGCCCAGAACTCAAACAAAGGAGCTGCTTTAGAATATCTTCTGTTCATGAAAGAATATAACTTTATTTTACAATATGAGACTAGGGAACACATTTGATCCAAACCCAAACTAGTCTCTTCTTCACTGTTTAGTGTATTACATAACCAACAAATCTACTGTCTTACATTGATGAATTTCCATGCAAAGCCCAGCCCAGAGCAGACTATGCTGAAGAGCTGATGAGCTCAATGCCCCAGGTAGCTGGTGTTTAATTAATTAGCTCTATTGCTTGTACTCTAAAAATAACCATAACCTCTGCCAAGCTGAAGGGTAAAGAGCAAACTGTGGATGACTGTGGAAAAAAGGACTCAGGTATCATAATTTCACTAACAAATTCCAGTGACCTACTTTTTTATGTCAATAAAAATGAGGCCTCAAAATTTTAATCAACTATTGATAAAACCTTAACTACAACCAAGCAGAAAAGGAGCGAATACATTAAATAAGGAGACTCTGTAAAAGAGGCACCAAGTTTCTCTTGTTGAAAAATCATGGGGGTAAGGCCAGGGATGTAGCTCAGTAGCTCTACCGTCTGCTTTGCAAGCACAAGGATCCAAGTATGATCCCTGGCATTTAAAAAAAAAAAATCATGGGGCTGCTTTTTCCCCCAATATTCAATGAAAAATCTACACAAGAAAACATGTATACTAGTACAGCTGGGTATCCCAATGCAAAAAAGAAAAAAAAAAAAACCCTAAAAATCCCAAACCGGTAAGTTGCACAACACACATAAAACAGTTGTTATCTCAATGGAAGAGCATGTGCTTAGCATACAAAAGTCCTTGAACTCAACTGCAGGACCCAATAAATAAATATACAAAACATAGATCATAGACCTAAGTATGTACATTAAAACACTTTCCAAAAGGAAAAGATAGGGCCAGGGATTTAGCTCAGTGGTTTCGCCGCCTGCCTTCCAAGTGCAAGGGCCCGAGTCCAATCCCTGG